AAAAACAGTCGCTCAAAATCACGAAGCTCTTAGGACATGCTTCATCCCAGATGAGGAATCCACAGAAATAGCCTGGCAAGGTCTGATGAGAACATCAAAACTCGAACTCAAAACTCAACATATTCGCACGGACGAGGAGATCAAAGCTCAGTACGTGAAAGTTCGTTATACCACCTACGATCTCGCAAAAGGAGACACGATGCAGATCATCCTTCTCTCTAAAGATACCATGACGCATACTATTATCTTTGGTTATCACCACATTCTGATGGATGGCGTTGGCTTCGAAGCGTTCCTTGCTGATCTCGAGCGAGCATATAATAAACGCCGTGTTACACCACAAGGCCTCCAGTATCTTGCATTCTCCGAAGCGGAAGAACAACGCAATAAACCAGGCAGTCGTGAAGAGAAGTTGACCTTCTGGAAAAAGGAGTTTGAAGAAATCCCAACCATCCTACCTCTGCTCCCGGTCTCCAAAGTCACGTCTCGAAAAGTCGTAGACAGATATGGCTCTAGTTACGTTGAGCGACGACTAGACGTCAAAATGTCTGCTGACATTAAAGCAATCTGCCAAAAGCTACACGTTACGCCGTCACATTTCTATCTCACGACTTTCCGCGTTATGTTAATGCGCCTCACTGGTGTTACAGATATCTGCATTGGTTTGGCAGATGCCAATCGTCATGATAGCGATGTCATGTCAACTGTTGGGCTATTCTTGAATATTTTGCCGATATATTTCAAAAATTCTGCCAATGACACGTTTGATGAAGTCTTGAAAGAAACACGTACTAAAGTCTACGAGGCTCTTGGTCACGCTGGGGTGCCTTTCGATGAATTACTACAAGGTAAGAAGCCACCCTCGTTGTATCAAAGAAAGTTGTTGTGATCGCGGCAAAGTGTGAGGTGAAAATTGTCCAAAATCCATGCTAATATTACAAACTTTGCAGCTCTCCGCCTTCCACGCTCGTCAAGTCATAGCCCGCTTTTCCAAGCCTTTTTCGATTATCACCAAGGAGCTCAAGAACGGCTCAAATTTGGCAACATGACTTGGGAGGTTGCGGATAGAAATCCTGGTGAGACGGCTTATGATATCACTCTAGATGTCATCGAAGGTACAGCAGGCTCACTTGTTGCCTTGATTGGCCAGGATTACCTGTATGGTGTCGATGAGATGGAGAAGCTGCTTGATACCTATTTAACACTGCTCGAGGAGTTCGTTAGCGATAAATCAGTTTCTACTAGTACCGTGAGGCTCTACGGGCAGAAACGGATCGATGATGCTCTGAGCTTGAGCAAAGGTACGATGCGTATTCTGACACTATATCAACGTCAGCTAACAATTCGAACAGGCCCTTCTCTTAATTTCGAATGGGGTCCTACTCTAGGACACCGCGTGCAAGAAATTTGCTCGCTGTTTCCTGACGCCGTTGCTCTTACGAACGGTGATAGCATTAGCTTGACGTATCGTTCCATTGAAGCGAAAGCCTTTTCCATACGCAATCAATTGCTGACAGCAGGTGTCAAGCAAGGTGATACTGTGGCAGTATTCCAGGACTCAACGCCAGACTGGATCGTCTCGGTAATATCAATATTCTGGGCGGGAGCGGTATATGTCCCTTTGGTGCGCATAAATCCGATGCCGCGTCTTGCCGCCATAGTTGTTGCCGCCAAACCGAAAGTCATCCTTGCTGACGATTCCACCGCGAGTCTGGCCCAGGAACTGCAACTTCCAAACTCTTCGATCATCAATGTGAGCAACTCGGCTCCAAAAGGGGAGTTAGGAGACCGCACAATTTACGCTTCAGCCGAGGACCCCGCCCTCATTCTTTTCACGAGCGGAAGTACTGGCATCCCCAAGGGAATCGTCCTTCGTCACCGGAACTTGGCCAATCATATTGAAGGCTATGTTCGCGCGTGGGACATCGGACGTGAGATTGTCTTGCAGCAGAGTGCCTTTTCTTTTGATCTTTCAATCGGTCAAATATTCACGGGCCTATCCATGGGCGGTACTGTTGTTGTCGTCCCCGAAAAAACGAGAGGTGATCCTGTGACCCTCGCAAAACTAATTCTCGAAAACGGTATCACCTGGACACTTCTCACACCCTCAGAGTATTCCGGGGTTCTTGAGTCCAGTGCGGAAGATCTGCGAAAAGCGACCTCTTGGAACCATGCTCTGGCTTGTGGAGAAGCGTTGACAAGAAAGCTGGTTCGAGAATTTAAGAAACTTGATCACAAGAAATTGCGACTATATAATGCATACGGTCCAGTAGAAGCTATCATTTCGGCAACGATGGCTGAGATACCCCTACATACCGATGGAGAAGATGGGCCTGTTACTATTGGTGTCCCGAATCCCAACTACTCCATATACATCATTGATGAGCAATGCAATATATTGCCGCAAGGATTTCCTGGAGAGATTCTTATCGGTGGTTGCGGTGTTGCTGCTGGTTATCTAAATAACGAAGAGTTGACAGAGGAAAAGTTCTTACTCAACAAGTTCGAATCGAGTGCGGACTGGGACAATGGCTGGAATATGTCATATCGCACCGGAGATATGGGTCGCCTTCGGAAAGATGGAACATTTATGTACGAGGGCCGCCGTGAAGGTGACAGCCAAGTCAAGATTCGTGGTTTCAGAGTGGATTTACTCGATATTGAAACCACACTTCTCAACGCCTCTCACGGAGTACTGTACGATGCGGTGATAACAATGCGACCAGAGACACAAATTCTCATCGCCCGCGTAATGTTTGAGCGCGCCCAGCAACCACAAGACACCGCCTCTTACTTGGCCAAGCTTTTGGCAGATTTACCTCTGCCACCATACATGATACCAAACATTGCCATACCAGTCGGATCCTTCCCAAAGAATCTTCATGGTAAAAAAGACCGGTCAGCCATTGCAAGGCTCCCGCTTCCTCAAACCCTCACTACTTCATCCAACGACTCCGCCGAACTCAGCAGCATGGAAGAAAGGCTAGCTGAAACGTGGCGTGAAATCCTACCCGCAGAATTCTCAGATCTATTCAGTATCGAATCAAGCACCGACTTCTTTACTGTTGGAGGGAACTCGCTTCTTCTCGTCAAACTTCAGTCCTGTATCCGTGACGCTTTCGATGTCTCCATACCACTTCTCGAACTCTTCGATATAAGTTCATTATCCAAAATGGCTGTTAGAATCAAAGCTTCTCGAGTGGTGTCTCTCATTGACTGGGACGAAGAAACAGCAATAACCCGTGGAACTGTCGAAATTGCTAATTCCGCCCCGAACACCGACGAAAATAAAACCGGGAAAATCGTACTGTTTACTGGCGCAACTGGTTATTTTGGACCATATCTTTTGGCGGACTTGATCTCGAATCCAGCTATTCAAACCATTCACTGCGTGGCCATTCGCGCTGATAATCTATCCCATGCCAAATCCCGCGTCCCGCTTTCATCATCACCCAAAGTGGTGGTCCACGTTGGCGACCTCTCTCTTCCACGTCTTGGCCTCACGCAGAATATGGTAAATTATCTAACGGCTAACGTGGATTTGGTGATCCACTCTGGAGCTCGCCGCTCATTCTGGGATTCCTACTACGAGCTACGTGGGACAAACGTTTTGTCTAGCAAGGAATTGGTAGCTATTGCGGCTCCCAGAAAAGTTCCAATTCAGTTCATGTCAACTAGTGGCGTCTTGCTTCTTGATGAATCAATTGATGGCGAGCTCGAAGCTTCAGTTCAAAGTTTCCAACCGCCGAATACTGGTGAAGAAGGCTATGTAGCATCAAAGTGGGCCAGTGAAGTCCTCCTTGAGAACGCCGGAACTGAGCTCGGTATACCGGTGACGATACATCGCTTTACACCCCGGTCGAAACCCAATGAAGATGAAACCAACCTCGCTGCTCTCGAAGCGCTCATCGGATCTACCACAAAACTTGGTGCAATCCCAGAGCGTAGCACATGGGCTGGTCGGTTTGATGTTATCAATACTGGTAACCTTGCACAAAGGATCATCTCTGGGGCCGTCGATGGATTACCTACCAAAGATGCAGAGGTAGAGTTCAAACATCACCCGAGCGAAGCGGCCTTGACTCCAACTGAGCTTTTCGATTTCCTCGAGTCGAGACTAGGAGACAAAATAGGAGGGAGGATGGGAATGTTGGAATGGGTTGGAGGTATTAAGAAGTGTGGATATGAGTGGCTTTTTAGTACGCACGATTTAGAACTGGCTAAGGAGGAGAATGGAGTTGTGACGAAATTGATCAACAGGCGTTAAATTGGAGTCTTGTTGTGTTGGATGTCTGCGGTGGAATGAAGTTTACCAAAAAGACTTGTAAAGCACTGTGTTACTATTAAACTCAGTCTTTTATTATGAGTCTTTTATTATGTGACTTTGTCTTGAAGACTCTAAGAATCGGGTTGTCACATAAACTTTCAGTCAATATACACAACCATTATACGGCCTAGACAAAGTCTAGGACTGCCGGGGTGTGCGTTCTGAATTTTCATCTCCATGGATGACTTTGAAATTCACAAACTCGAATGAGCAGGGAAACTTCAAACTTGTATCTCACGGCCAAGATAGTTATATTTTATTAGTAATATCAATTCAAATCAAGATTTACTGAGGTATCGTAACTTCGAATTTCACGGAATAAGTTCAAAATAAGGAAATCGACATTCACGAAGCATCTAGTCCAAGTAAGCTCGTGGTGGACAAGATAAGTTGTAGGAAACTTGTGCAAACTTCTATTTAATTTTGTCAATTTTATTGACGAATATGTATTACTTCGTCATCCTGATCATCTTAATATCAGCCGACTGCCACTTACTTTGTCTCCTGCGAGCCTAGAAAGATACCAATAAAGGGAGAAATCGCTGTCACGTGATAATCGTCACCTTTATCTCGCGATTTTGTGTACCGCGGTCCGTTGTGATACCTTATCAACGGTCGGAAATGATTGATCGGATCATGTCTTGATATGCAGGTTCTTCTTTTCACAATGAACTCAACTCCTTAAACTTCCACCTACACCGTTTTCTTCATCTATGGATCCATATTCTTCTGGTCGATTGCGCTCTTGCCCTTCGACTCTGCTCTCATTGATAAACCACGAACTAATGAATGCGCAGATAGCCAATCCTGCACACACCAAAAAGACAGCCCTACAAGCCTTTCCGTATGCTGCCTCCACGATTATGCGACCCTTAATTGGGAGTTGATCAAGATACTCCAAAGATTCGCTCACGCCTTTGAGAACCTCGCCCGTGTCCAACCCTAATTCAGGCGCGTCTACCAGCCGATCGATCAAATTGGATGCCAAAACGCGCCGGAACACAAGTGATATTATGGCTAGACCAATGGTGGTTCCGAGTTGGCGATACAGATATACGCAAGCCGTTGCGACGGCTTGGTCTTCTGGACTCGCTACGACAATGACAACTACCAATGTAGCTGCCATACCTCCACCATTGCCTAGCCCACCAACGAACAAGCTAATGCTTACGGCAAGGACAATGGCAGTCAGTGGTATGTCTCTCGCAAAGAAGCCTGCTCCTAGAGCAACGCCTACGCTTGCCATTGCAACCAGGGGATATGATGCTAGTGCCAGGGAGGAAAACCCGGTGGCCCCCCGTCGTTTCAGTATAGTACCGCCGATAAAGCCTCCAATAACTCCAGAGCCGATTCCTGGCAACAGTAGAGTTCCAGCCGCAGAAGCCGAGAGATGACCAATTGCTTGATATAGCAACGGCACGTAGAAAATGATTCCATACCAGGCAACATTTCCGAACGCGAGGGCGATATATGCTCCGAGAAAGTTCTTTCCGAAGAGGATGCGGAGTGGTGTCAGCGGGTAGAGCGCGAAACTATTCTCTACCCATAAAAAGACGACGAAGCATACCGCGCTGCTGATCAGCCAGAGGTATGAAACCAAATGATTGGCTCTATCTGATGCTATCGTGTCCAAAAATACAAGCAGTAATACCAGACAGGCAATCAGGCTAACCGCTCCCAAGAAGTCAACCTGCTTTATTTTCGTTTTCTGCTCGTCCTTCTGGTGGTGAGATTCAGTTGGTAATTGCAGCAATACAGCGACAAGAGAAATCGCAATCATACACAGCGGCGCTTGTGCGATGAAAGCCCTATGTGCATATTAGTAATTTTCGTTCTCACAGGGCGGTTTACTGGGGACTAATAAAGTTCTTTACCATCTCCAACCGATTGCATCTGTCAAAATACCTCCTACATGGGTTGGTTAGCCTATTACGGAACTGGTATATGGCATTGGTCTCGAATACCAAGTGGTGCCCCAGCGCCCGCTCCACATGCAAATACCATATTCACATAACCTTGCCAGATTCCTCGCTCTTCTAGAGTAACAATGTCGCTAAGCAAAATGGAAACGACGGTGATAATGCCTCCAGCACCGATACCAGTCAGAGCCTTTGGCGCAGAGTGTCAGTACTGAGAACCTTTCGGTCGGGTACACAATTCTGGGTAACGCACCCTTGCAACAATAAGCTGATCCATATTCTGGGCTAGACCGCAGAGTAACGCCCCCAGTCCGAAAATACAATATGCAGAAAGAAGGCAAGCTTTTCGGCCAAAAATATCCGTGAGTTTCCCGTATAAAGGCTGAAACGCAGTTGTGGTGCAAAGGTACCTAAATCCTCGCGCAAAACATTAGGAGGTAGATTCTACTATAAGTTTTTTTGCAAGAGCACGCATGCTAGGGAAGCCAATACTTACGCAGTGGCTAGCCACGCTACCTTATCCAACTCATCTAGATCACTTCCTATGCGACCATAACTGGATACGACAATTGTTTGGTCGCCAGCAGCCAAGAAAATCTACCAGAAAAACGTTAAAAATCGTCTCTTCCAATTGATAGAAAATACTAACCCCAATAGCTAGTGCTGGAAATATGAACTTTAATCTTGCTCGAACAATCGAAACATTTCTTTGCTTCTTGCCCGGTGATGGAAATTCTCCAAAGGCACTAACTTCGTCACTATTTGCCACGCTTCGTGGCTCGGTAAGTAATGGCTGTCTCTCAGACACCTCAAAAGGGCTAGTCATACTGGTAACTTGCGTTGCGGTTTCGCGTCAAGTTAGTTACATGCCACAGAGCAACTACCAATTACCTTATACTTGGGTTTACTCCTATTACTAAAATTGAAGCCACAAAACCTGCTAATCCAAAATGCGACATACGTCATTAAAGATTTCGGAAACGTTGTCGGCCATATACATATCTTCGGCTTGCCTTTTGTCTGCCGAGTTGCTGGAAATCTCGGCTAGATGAAGTCGGACACTTCCATTTTCGTAAAGTATCCGATCTCCGAGTAAGTAACCGCATACTCATGTCTTCTTACACAAATCGATTTCACTTCTTAAAAGTGCTTTCCTATTTCATAACAAATCTTCTCTTTCTACGTTTTGAATTATTTTTCTTACATTTGAACCAAAACTTTGCCGTTCTTCATTCAATTTCACCCAACATACGCAATGGCATCTACCCCAAACGACTCCTTGGACAAGCCTAAAAGCCCTTCCGATATGAACAGCAGCACTGAAGTAAATAGTGACCATGCTGTTTCTTCAGAGACGCCAGACGATACATCCAGTCCGCCGATGAGTAAAGGAAAACTTACTCTCATCCTAGTAGCACTATGTCTCTCGGTCTTTCTCGCTGCTATTGACGCGGTAATCATTACTCCAGCTCTACCAACAATTGTCAAAGACTTAGGGGCGTCGGACTCAGGTTACTCATGGATCGGATCTTCTTACCTCCTCGCTCTTGCTGCTTCCTCGCCATTTTGGAGTAAAGTAAGCGATATATTTGGACGAAAGCCCATTCTACTCATCGCCAACTTCATCTTCCTCATCGGAAGTTTAGTTGCTGCACTTTCTTACAGTCTGCCGATGCTTATCGCTGGACGAGCGGTGCAGGGACTTGGTGGAGGTGGGATCATCACACTTGTTGAGATTTCAGTGGGAGATATGTTCAGTCAAAGGTGCGTCATACAATCAATCCTTTCTTATTCATCGATCCAGACAATATTTGCTACACACTCGTTATTAATGCGTTGTTTTATTATAGAGAACGAGGCCTCTTCTATGGTATATATGGAGCGGTTTGGGCATTTGCAACAGCTGTCGGACCTATCATCGGTGGTGCATTTACCGAGTACGTCTCTTGGAGGTGGTGCTTCTATTTCAACTTACGTTCGTGTCCAAATGCCAAATAAACCTCTTCCTAGGTGCATTCGCTGATTAATTTGTTAGCATTCGACGGATTATCTCTCATCATCACATTCCTGTTCCTCCACATCCACAACCCAAAGACTCCCCTCATCGCTGGTCTCAAGGCCATCGACTGGATCGGATCGTTGCTCATCGTTGGTGCAACCCTTATGTTCCTCCTTGGTCTGGATTTTGGCGGTGTCACTTACCCGTGGAAATCTGTAACAGTCATCTGCCTTATCCTCTTCGGCCTTGTTACATACGCGATTTTCGGAATTTACGAGCGCTTCGCTAAATACCCTATCATCCCTCGCCGTATATTCGGAAATGTATCACTCGTATCTACATTCGGCGTCGTCTTCTGTCACGGCGCTTGCTTCATCGCCCCAGTCTTCTTCTTGCCTCTCTACTTTCAAAGCGTCCTTGGCGCTTCGCCAATCCTTTCCGGTGTCTGGTTACTACCTCTGGCTATCTCGTTCACTGCAAGTGGCATAATTATGGGGATCGTCATCCAAAGGACTGGAAAATATCTTTGGATTATCAGAGGAACAATGGCATTATTGACACTTGCAATTGGCATTATGATTCTGTTTGGTGCCGACCGTAACTGGGGCAAAATTGTCGTTTTCCAAATCCTTCTCGCCTGGGGCATTGGTGCTAATATGCAAACTCTTGTCATCTGTGTGCAAGCTCTGGTGGCTCCCGAAGACATCGGCGTCGCTACTGGGACTTTGAACTTTATTCGTAACCTCGCTACGGCAAACAGCGTGGTTTTCGGCCAAGTAGTCTTCCAGGGTGTTCTACATAGACACTACGGCGATCTTGTTAATGCTGGTATTCCTCGCGATATAGTATCCCGGCTGCTCAATGGCGGTGCAATTGGTGGTTCTGATCTCTCGAGTACTTTTACTCCACCACAACTTGCAATCTACCAAGTCGCAGTTGCAGATGCACTCTCTAAAATGTGGATATTATATACTGGTATCTGCTTCCTTGGTCTTGTCATCTCGTTTGGCATTCAGAAGAAGGAATTGATGACCTCGCATGAGACAACCAAGACGGGACTTGAGGCGGAGGAAGCTAAGAGACAGAAGAATTTAAGTGCCAGGGCCAAAACGGAGGCACATGCGATAAACGGGGTGAAAGCGGAAGATGCTTAATTGCTTGAGCAAGCGGTGTTGAAGGATGAGCAGTTAAGTGGAAGTGGGTATACTTTGCAGAGCGCTGTAGGAAACAGACAACCTCAGGAGAGTTACCGCTCAATGGCTGTCCTCTCCATAATTACCATACCAATGATACTGGTCCGAGGACAAAGAGCTCATCACTACAACCTTGAGCCGCTGAATACGGGCGCTACTTGATCGTTTCTGTGGACGATATACGCATTGCTCGATTGCCTTTTTGGTATGACTAATAGTTTGAGCACTCTGGAATCGAGAGTTGTATCTGAATTTCCAAATCTCGAAAAATTGGTGCGAGCATATATGAAGATGTATTATAATGAGAATGCTTATTTCACATCCGGATAAACTTCATAATGTTTTTGAGTAAAACCGTGATGAGAAAGTTGCGGAAAAAGTTCCTCATGTATCATATCCTCAACACGTTCTAATATATACATGGCATGTGGTCTTGATATGCCGGGTTGTACCACGTGACTACTTTTCTGACAAAGCCCCACTGTAATCATTCTCATCGGAAGGAAAATGTCAAATTGAGTGACTAAACATCATGTTTCAACTGCCAATTCTTTTTCCCACGCCACCGGTACGATTGGTTAGCACTCACATGATTGGCTAGAGTAAAATGTCGCTTGGACCCCATTGCCAGGCAACTACACTCGAACAACATCTCCAACTCAACAGATCGTTTTCGCGTCTGCCTACTCATCAAAAGAAATGAATACTCATTTTACTATCAGATAAATGACCTCCGTAGTCTCCAACAATTTGCATACTACGACTGTGTTATTCATTATTTGAGTCTCGTGACACACTTATTTCCGGACCTCACAATCAAACTTTATTATGGCTCTAGAAACCCTACCGTTTAGACCGGAAGCTAAGAGAGTGTCAATTTTAACATTAACAAGTCTACCTTTCGACCTATTCACAAAGATAATTGCTGAGATTCTAGCAACTATCGGTGTCAGGAAAGCAGTTAGATTACGACAAGTGTCACGTGCGACTTCCCCTCTATTGACAAGAACTATGTTTGCTAACTATTCAAGGACTATTTTATGATTCGATCACAGCTGAGATATGTTTCGACTACACGTGCAGGTGCCATGGGATAGTTGACGAAGTACTCGAAAAGTACTCCCTATCATATGGAGACTTCAAGACTTTCGACGAGAAGCTGGCAGGAAGGTTACTTCAGACAAAAATGGAACATGAGCCCAACCATGAGGTATTATCTCACATAAAGGAGTCAATCGAGAGACTCCCGGACTTCGCTTCGGAAACTAAGGAGGCAAAGTTGAAGATTTGTCGTGATGTTTGTGAGGCTGCAGCTCCTCAAATTGGCCGGCTTCGAGAACGAGACTCAAATGGATTCCACCGGCTATGTCTCCGTGCAATGCAACGTGTAAAAGATGGCTCTTTGAACATTATTCCGCAAAAAGAGAGCTACGAAGTTGTTCGAAGCCAGCAATCTCAAACGGACTTGAGTATAGCTATTGTTGCCGACAGACATGATGTTGTCAGAAATCTCATCGAATCTGGAGTGGCAACAGTTGACTTCAAGAGTCTCTATTTCAAACATCCTATAGTTCAAGCTGCGAGGCTCGGAAGAATAGAGATAGTTAAGTATCTCCTGGAAAAAGGCGCGGAATGGCAAACCCAAGATGAAATATGGTCGAAGAAGGCATATCATCTCATCAGCCTTTTGGATCTCCACATAAACAAAAAGATCATGCTGGCGCCAGAGCCCACCATTTCAAGTCTAGGTCTAGCCCGACACAAAATCGAATTGTTACTGCGACCGGTCGCTCATAGCGGAAACGCGAATATCTTCACCAGACTTTTAGACGCATACAAAGACGAAAGTGTCTGCTCAGAAACTATGAAAAGCACTCTCATTCGAGAAGCGATTATAGGTGGAAATACAGCTACTCTTTCCGTGATGGTGAAAGAGGGATTTGAGATACAAACCTACCCACTATACCTACCCTCTCAAACTTCATATCTGCAAATCGCAGCCCAGTATGGCAGCGCGAAAATGACGGCTTTACTTCTGGAACACGGTGCTGATCCGAGGCAAGCTTCTCCTCTGAATAATCTTGACGCTTGGGATATCGCTATTACGAAAGGCTATGAGGATGTGTTGAAAGTCTTATTGGATCATGCTGAGAAAAATGGAGTACAGCCGTCACCTACAGATCTGAGGATCCAAGACCTGGAACACGCGCATATTATACGGATGTTGATACGGCATGGATACGAGATCGGTAAGGATCCAAGCTATGAGAATATCAGCAAGGTGATGCTTAGGAATGCATTTAAGAAAAATAATGTGTGTATGGTTGAGGCTTTGGTTGAGGCGGGTGTGTCGGTTGATATTGAAGATATAAATATTTTGGCGGACTTGGTAGCCTCTAGTATAGGTCGTGGAGAGATGATTCAGCTTCTGCTTCGGACTGGAGCAGCAAATAGGGATGGAGGAAATGGTAGTGTTAGATTAAAAAGCTTAGGACGTGCTGCGCTTCATACGGACCGTACGACGTACTGGGAGCTAGGTCGCTATTAGATGGAACACTGGTCAAAGACTCAATAAAATAGACAGCTAGCGAGCATAGCGTTTTCCGTTTTCGACAAAGATTTTGTAATATAACCAAAGTACCTAGGTAATCATCGCCAATTATTGCGGTATACGGTGTCTGTTCGTCATTTCGATGAGAGAAGATAGAAGGACGCGGCGGGAGGCTCCCGAGATGGCGCCCGCAACATTACGGTAAGCGAACGATCCATGTTGGAGCCAATTTCAAACGAAAGCACAGACGCGGTTGTGTCTCCAACAATTCCCAACAACCGCGCTTTTTCCAAATCCATTTCAACTTTTCCAGTATGGCGTTTGCTATTGAGGTTCCTGGGGAAGCTGTTCCTTTGACCCCGCAACAGGTATTCCTGGCTCTCCAGTCTGCAGGCTCATCGCAACAAGTACACATCCAGACAGGCGCTGCGCAGCTTCAAGCTTGGGAAACGCAGCGGGGTTACTATCCATTACTGCAGGCATGAGAACAACCCCTCCAACAGCTAAATGAATACGCACTGACTTGATGGTGGCACTGTAGGCAGTATATTTAGACAAATCACTTCCTCCTGAAGTTCGTTACCTCGCGATTATCCAGCTCAAGAATGGAATCGATAAATACTGGCGAAAGGCTGCCCCAAATGCCATCACGAAAGAAGAAAAGAACGAAGTACGCTCGCGACTAATAGAGGGAGGCATCGAAGAACCGGACACAAGATTTGCTTTACAAAATGCCTTAGTAGTTTCCAAAGTTGTTCGGATCGATTATCCTTTGGACTGGCCGGATGTTTTGACAACATTGATCGAGGTTCTGCGGAAAGCCAACCAGACAAATCAAACGCATCTGAAGAGAGGCATGCTGATAATGTTACAAGTTATCAAGGAACTATCCACTGCAAGACTGCGTACATCGCAAACGAGCCTCAAATCGGTTACACCAGAGATCGTATACCTTTTGACCGAAATTTATACCCAAAAAATTGATGAATGGATGGCGTTTTTGAACGGTAACGGTGAAGACGAAGGAGGAGCTGTGGATGCTATGGAGAACAGCCTATACTCTATCAAGATTTTACGACGGCTTCTAATCGTTGGATATGACTACCCAAATCATTCAAAGGATGTCCAGCAAATGTGGGAACTCTCACAACGACAGTTTGGTCAATTCCTGGACATGGTATCCCGAGACCCGCCTATAATAGTCTCTCCTGCCAAAGAGCTCGTTGAAAAGCATCTCATACAGTTCTCAAAACTTCATGTACAAATGTCAACCCTACATCCGGCTGCGTTCGCGCTCCTGCCCAGCTCTCTCGATCTAGTAAGGTCATACTGGGGATTGGTGGAAAGTTTCGGTGAGTCATATGGCTCAGCTACTCAAGATTTCAGTGCAAAGGCTACAGACCAAGACACAAACATGAAAGTTCAGCGGCCGGTCATGGAGAAGCTTTGCTTAAAAGGATTGACACTGCTTCGATCGTGTTTGAAGATGGTATTCAGTCCAGCGCAGTCGTTCAAGTATCGAAACCCGGAAGTGAAGGCGGAACAGCAAGAGGGTGTGGCAATAATCAAAGCACAATTATTTACAGAAGATCTTGTCCGCCAGATGGCGAACATCATCGTGACAAAGTTCTTCATTTTCCGCCAGGTTGATCTTGAAGCGTGGGAAGAAGATGAAGATGAATGGGAGATCCGAGAGGAAGGTGGCGGGGACACCTGGGAATTCGAAGTACGACCATGTTCGGAAAAATTGTTCATGGATCTGGTCCTCAATTACAAACAACTCTTGGTAGATCCCTTGTTGTCATTCTTCCAGTCTGTGGCAGGCACGGAGCAAATTTCTGTTGTAACAAAAGACGCCGTCTACACTGCAATGGGACTCGCCGCGCCGGTCGTTTACGAAAATTTCGACTTTGATTCGTTTTTGACCTCAACTCTTGTCAATGATGTTAGACAATCGGGTCCTGGATATAAGGTGCTTCGGAGACGTATTGCTATATTAATAGGGCAGTGGATTACGATCAAGATTGCTGAAGATAACAGGACTCTCGTATACCAGATATTTCAACATCTGCTCAACAAGGAAGATGAAACGAATGACTATGTTGTGAGGGTCACTGCTGCCAGACAATTCAAGGCTGTTGTGGAAGACTTTAGCTTCATTGCAGAAAGCTTCCTACCATACGCTCCAGACTTTCTTGCTCGAATGATGGCTTTGATACAAGAGGTTGAAAATACAGAAACAAAAATGGCAATACTGGAAACCATAAGAATGATTGCTGTACGCCTAGAGAACAACATTTCGCCATTCGCGGATCATATTGTCTCCATTTTGCCAGACCTTTGGGAGGCATCCGGAGACGAACATCTAATGAAACAAGCGATTCTAACTTTACTATCGACTTTGGTAACCGCAATGAAGGACCAAGCTCAGCGATATCATGCCATGATTCTACCACTCATTCACCGAGCTGTCGAACCAGGGTCAGAAATGCAAGTGTATCTACTTGAGGATGCATTGGATCTCTGGAGTACAATTTTGACACAAACTTCGGCGCCCGCCTCTCAAGAGGTACTCGCCTTGGCAGATTGTGCGTTCCCACTTCTCGAAATCGGTTCAGACAACCTTCGAATTGTCCTCACTATTGTTGAGTCGTATATTCTTCTAGCTCCTGAAGCAATGTTGGGTGATACTGTGCGTCTTCGGCTTGTTTCGTATATGACTAGTCTACTGGGCGTTAAGAAGAGGGAACTTGCTGGATTGGTAACCTCAATCGTTGAAGGTATTATACGTGCCGCGGAAAAGCTTGGAGGAGCTGAAGGAGTCAGACTTGTAGCGAAAGATCTGTTCGAAGCTGGTATCATCGAGAAAGTTATCTCCGGGCTTCGTAATGCATGGGAGGCTCATCAAACTGTCGGACCGGAACGCAAATACCCTAAACTTGATGATGTGGTGGAGACCGATTACTTCACCATTCTTGCGCGACTTGCTCTTGCCGATCCTGCTATATTCACTTCAATTCTAAGCATGGTTGGTAACGCCAGCGAAGTCTGGTCGTGGCTTGGGACGGAGTGGTTCCAACACTTCGACAGTATGGCTAATATTGACCGCCAAAAGCTGTCGTGTCTGGCCCTCACACGTTTGCTCGAGCTTCCTGCGCCAATGAATGTGCTAGCATTAGACAAACTGCAAGACTACTTTGCAATGTGGACTTCTGTTGTTTCAGAAATGTCTACAGGTCGTGACGACGCTGGTGATAACTTGATTTGGGGGCCGTCTGAAGGCAATGAATTCGAAGGACCCGAAGACGCACGAAAGCGGATCAATTCAAGCTCTGATCCGGTACACAGCGTGCACACTTTCGACTTCATCAAGGAGAGACTGGGTCAATTTGTTAATTCATGCGGAGGTGAAGAAAGTTTCCAAGTCAATTTTGCGGTCAACGTAGATAAAGAGGTGTTGCAAGCATTTCAGCGACTGGGCACACAAGAGAGTGTTGCCCCAGGAGACTTTTGGGCGGATGGGAATACACTATAGGAGCCTGTCAGCTTGAGAAGCGCTTGTGTTTTCTTTTGGGTTGGGACGGGGTGTGATAATTGTAGATCGACTGAGATACCCAATATATGTGCCATTATTAGCTTGACGCGGCCATTAACAAGTACTTATACCCAATTAATGGAACTATGTTAGTGGTCTGTATACGACGTTTTGGAGATACTGAACGAGGAAAGGCGCAACGGAGTAGATTTGGGGAGTTTGACGCGCGCTGGAAGCCTAATTCGCAATACCCTCTTATATCCAACTTTGGACTCGACTCCGAGAATCTAGAAAAGCTTACCATGCCGTACACCATCAAACCAGAGGCAGAATATGCAACAATTCCGACTCGAAAAATATATCCATATTTAACGACCCCACTCCATTGCCCGAACCCTTCGGAATTAACGAATATCTCCGAAAAGTGTGGCTCGAGGGTTCCACAACGTCATCGCCAATGCAAAAGACGAATTTTCGCAATCACACTTCGCATAGAGATATCCAATCAGCCTTTGGATAGTCGAGAGGCGTGAGAAGGTAGGATTAGGAATTGTAAATTCCGCGTACGAGGTAGGTATGCGGGGACCCGTTGACAGATGCCGAAAGGGGCTCTATTGCGGGGTAGATTTTGGATTCTGAACGACCCCTTCGGTTTAGGTGTGATCCTGGTAGAAGCGAGCAGCCCCTCCTTGGTTGGTGGCTTGGTCTTGGGTATAAGATGGTTGAGAGGACTGAGTTACTGGAGAGAAACAGATCAGAAGAGGACTATTGTTGCGTTGAGAGGATAAAGTGATTGTGTGCTTCCCTCGAGCTCGAGATCCAGTGTTCCGTCACGCTAGAAAGGCAACTAATTGAATAGCTCCCGCTATTTAATTAATCCCACGTCCCGTCCCTGATTCAGACGTCAATCTTCGACGTCAATATCAATATCAAACTCAATCCTCACCATGCCGTCAACAGAACAGACCTCTAATGGCTCATCACCCAAGACATATCCTCTTATAATCAACAACAAGGAACATAAGACGAAATCTTCATTCGAAGTCAAGAACCCGTCAAATGGAGAGCACGTCCATTCCTTCTCCTCCGCGACTATAGAAGATACAGATGCTGCCATCAAAGCAGCTGAAAAGGCGTTGCCAGCATGGAAAACGCTCCCGCCAAATAAGAAACGAGATATCTTTCTCAAAGCCGCGGATCTGCTTGAATCTCGTAGCGCGGAGTTGCAAAAGACGATGAGCAAGGAGACTGGAGCCGCAGAAAGCTGGGCGCAATTCGACACCTCGCTCGCGCCTGAGATCTTGCGTGATGTAGCAGGCAGAATCACCACCCTCTCCGGAAGCATCCCACAAACCTCACAAGAAGGCGTCTCCGCGCTCGTCTTCAAAGAACCATACGGCGTCGTTCTCGCAATCGCACCCTGGAACGCCCCTCACATCCTCGGCGTCCGCTCCATCGCCTTCCCCTTAGCAGCAGGCAACACCGTGATCCTCAAAGCGCCCGAACTTTCCCCCCTCACCTCCCTCGGTTTCGTAACCGCGCTGCATGACGCCGGATTGCCTGAGGGAGTCCTAAACCTCATCGCTCATTCCGCCAAAGACGCAGCGGAGATCACAAATCACCTCATCGCGCACCCAGCCATCAAGAAAATCAACTTCACAGGCTCCACGAACGTCGGCCGTCTCATTGCCTCCGCGGCCGGAAAACACCTTAAACCCGTGCTCCTAGAACTCGGCGGCAAGGCGCCGGCTATCGTCTGGGAAGACGCGGATCTCGATGCCGCGGCCATGGGATGTGTAGTCGGTGCCTTCTTGCACGGCGGACAGATCTGTATGTCCACCGAGCGCATCATCGTACACGCCAACATCGCATCAAAATTCGAAGAAGCGCTCAAATCCGCCGTCGCTCAATTCGCCCCCAACGACTCCCCCGAGCCCGTATTGATCAACGCGGGCGGCGTCACCAAAAACCAATCCCTCCTCTCCGACGCGCTCTCCAAGGGTGCGACCATCATCCACGGCGACGCTCAAGCCGGCACAGGCGCCAAGATGCGGCCCGTCATCATCAAAGACGTGAAGCCCGAGATGGAGATCTTCCAGACGGAGTCGTTTGGGCCGACGGTGTCGCTGTTCAGCGTGAGCAGCGAGGAGGAGGCGTTGAGGCTGGCGAACGATACCGAGTATGGGCTTTCGAGCGCGGTGTTTACGCGGGATTTGGCGAGGGGACTCAGGTTTGCGAGGGGCATTGAGAGTGGTGCGGTGCATATTAATGGGATGAGTGTGCATGATGAGACGGCGTTGCCGCATGGTGGTGAGTTTGGTACATTTTCTTTTGGTTTTGTATTTTTGGAGTTGGTGTTGTTGATTGTGAGGATGAGAGTGAGATTAAAATGGATATCTGCTGACTATACTACTTTAGGTGTGAAATCAAGCGGATACGGTCGCTTCGGAGCTAGCGGGTTAGAGGAATGGGTTCGGACTAAGACTGTGACTTTTAAAGATTAAACTTCACAAGTGTTAATTTGTATAGCTCTCTGAAGAGCTAAAAACTGGTTGGATATATCGTATCAACCTTTGGTTAAAAAGCAACATTGTATGAGACCCAGTGGCCTAGACGTATATGCTTCCGAGTCATCGTCTTGGAGAATCAGGAAACCTTGCGATACGAAAGTTATCTGGAGCTGTGTAGCACAAATCTTCCCTTGCCAATGTAAATTCGGTTTCATGTGGACGAGACTCGGAAAACATCTCTCTCATGCCTTTCTGGATGAAGCTGGAATGTGATGTTGATTGTATTTAGAATTTAAGCATTAGTCGTCATCAAAACCGCGCACTGCATGAAGAAGAATCTATCTGTCTTATCATTACAAGTCTTTGAATACCTCAAAATCCTCACTCTAGGAATGGTTACCTTACATTCAAAAATCAGATCCCACGATATCTGATGAGTTTTGAGATATCTGTTCCTATCAGATTAGTAAAGCTTCATGTGTAGGTAAAGCGAAGTTAACCAGAAAATCTTTCTTTTCCAAATCTCAATTTCATTAAAAATCACCGATTATCTCATCTAATCACCTCCTCAAGATATTGCAAATCCATCAATCATGTACGGTACAACAGGGGTATTCAAACGAACGTAACCACCAATCATCTACACCCCCTAACTTTTCTTCAACCTAATCTCCATCCCTTTCCCCTCTCCCCACCGAGGATCATTTAATTCCCCGGAATCAAACACGCACTAGTCGCGCACTGCGAAGGAAACCTCCTACTAGTCAACGGCTGCGGAATCAGGCCAGCCCTCGTAAGATTCTGGAAATGCCATTCCGGTGCTGTTTCCGTCTTCCATGTCCAGAACACCCAGCCGCTGTGGGATTCATACGCGTCGAGCTGGGCTTCGACGTAGTATGCGAGGTTAGTTTTGTCGACTTGGAGCATACCATCGACGGTGCCTGTGTATTTGTTTTGACAGCTACCGTAGTAACCTGACGATCCTTGAGGAAAGGTTCCATCGTATCGAGCTCCTTTGCCGAGACCGTTGAGCCAGCGGGCGCAGTCGGTTTGGGCGCCAGTCCATTCTCCCACTATGGTCCATTTGTCTGTGTTTTCTGGGATGAAGTGTTAGAATGCAACTTGTGGGAAGAGGTTGCAAAGAACTTACGGATTCGACCAGCCGATGCGCAAGCTGTTTGGACGTGTTGACATGGCTTCATAGCAACCTCTCCTTGTGAGAAGATTTGATAAATGTGTGTATCCAGAATAACGTCGTTGACACCACTTCCATAACCCATAAACCCATTCCACGATTGCGGGTCCAGAAAAGCGTCATGAATCACAACAGCAGTGTTGCTAGATGTAGTTCTGACATTTCCCCAACCATCATAATAGAACTTCTTCACCAATCCCATATCGTTTCCCCAATTGGCAGGCTCATTGAGTAGTTCGATTGCAGTTACCACATCCTGATCATTTCTGTATCGGTTCACGAGATTCTGAATTGCCGTCAGAGTATTGGCGACATTATCTCCAGATTGCCAGTTGATAGCACCATACTTCCCACTATTATCGAAACCATTTTGAGACCCAGGAGCTATTAACACGTGAGAATGTAACACAATGCACCATGCAAGACTTGCATACCTCCATGGAGATCAAGCATCACTCTTAAGCCCGCATTTCTCGCCCACCTAATTGCATTGTCCAGAAATGGCAATTGACCTTGAACATAAGGATCTGCTGGATTTGGATTCAAAGCCCAGTAACCGACTGGAATTCGTACGTGGTTTAAGCCGAAAGATGCGATCTCTTTGAAGTCTCCCTCGGTGATGAATGTTGACCAATGTTGAGTCAATCTGCTTTGCGCGTTCTGTTTACCAAGTGCAGCAGTGTACGTGTACTCGTCAACAACTCCTCCACCATTTGCCCATTGTTCGAAAAGTGAAGGCGTGATCCATGGCTCGAGTACAAACCAACCACCCAGATTTACACCGCGGACTTTTTGGTTGTCGTAATTCCAGGTGTTGGCGCGTTCTTTACTGTGAGGCAGTTAGCTTTTACTATCAACACCCTCCAGATAATGTAAACCTACACAGGATTTGCAATTGCAACTGATGAACATGCTGCGAAGACAGCAACAACTTTGAAACAAAACATCTTGTTGGTCGCACTGATGTCTGTTGTTGTTTACGTTTGGAACATGTCACGAAAAGAAAAGCTGGTTGCTACCTAGATGGCAAATCCGGGGTAAAAGTATGGATGGTACAAAACTCAATCAAGGCAGGAGAGATGCTCGGAAGATGGCACCCACCTATATGTATGGGCCAGCGAAGGAAGGAATGACCAGGCCCCCGTCCACAAGTGTGACCATGTTCTTCAGTATGTTCCCCGCAAAGACTAATCCTTACCGCTTAGACCTGGACTTATTATTCACACATGTTTTCCAGACTAGGTAGAGCCCAGAAATGTCAGCTTAGAAAGCGGGAGGTCACGCTAGCAGACGGAATTAGTCCGAACTGATTAAGTGCAGGGTCTTCTTCCACTGCCTCGGATCATGATGTCGCCCGGCAAGAGAAATCGCTTAATATACTCCACGCGCTCTTGATGTTGACTCCCGTTACTTCACCGTTTTCTTAACAAAGTCATATACATTTCTGTTTCTCTTATGCCCGTCCAGCTGTCACCACGGATAGCAAACGGACATATATGTTGACACTTCACTCACGGGGAATCGGAGCATTGCTGCATCGGGTGATTGCATAGCTTGGAAAGAGGAGCATCATCTTAAGATCTCATGGTCTTCCAAACACGACATGGCCTGTCAATGATCCATTGGCTGTAGAACTCTGAGCAGTGCCCGTCCGTTTGGTGCCAACACCGGCTGAATCGATGGCACTGCATAGCGACGTGCAGACTAGGGGTCCAAGTGGCTGGTGCGGATTGGAAGCCATAGAGAGTCTTTCGCCTCATCGTCTCGTCGGCAGTATTGTATACCTCCGTGTGTTCTTGGTGGAAGGAATTGAACCGGGGGTTGCAAGGTACCGAGAGGTACATGAATGTGATTAAGGGTGAAGACATTCTTCCGCATAAGGTCTGTTTGGCTGCATCGGCGGTGAGTAATAGAACGATACGAAGACACAGCCACTCAGACGTTGTCGGAGGACGACCAGCTTGGTCAAATTGATTAGTATTCTTGTACTTGGTACGAAATCAAGGTACTCGTGTCGTATGCTGCCGTCTGAGAGGCCCGACCCTTTTGGATGTCGTTGATAGACGGTTGTGTTGTCACTCGCGTCCCGGTCGACCTGCAATTATCCTGGTCCTGAGTAACGAGAACCCTGCAGCGGGGCGACAAAGTTGCCATCCTGCTTGATCCAAGCTTCACCAAGAGAGATCCTCTTGCAAGTGTCAGCCATGATGCGCCACATTTGTTGTGGTGGAAGATGAGATCGTCACTTTGGCGTCAACATGCATGGCGCCGCAGCCACAAGATGCTCCAAGATGTCCTCTCACAAGTCCGTTGAGAGAGAATTGCTGTCGTTTCACTCATGTGACCATACGCGCTGGAAGGTCTCGGCCCTAATTCTGTAATACAGCAGTGGGGTATCGCAGTCGATTAAGTAACGAAAAACAAATCTGAAATGTCTGACATGATTGTAAATATTGATCTGACCGTCTTCTCAAAATCTCCCTTTTGAGCAACTGCGACTCCGATTAGTAGAGATATCGTATTCCAATTCTATTCTTGACTGATTTTCCGGAGGGTCGAGCCCAAAAGAAGAAAATCAGAGATAAGGCCTCTGCTTGTCAGCTGGTGGGGCTCAAACCTGTTTCCCCTGAGCCAGCCCCAACTTCCAGACAGACCGTCAGAAAGCATGGATCGCGGGAAGAACAAATGATTGTTATGCCGGAATACTAGCACGAATGTCGGTGTAAACTTTATACTCCATCAACAATAACTTTATATGATTTAAGCTTTCCACTACAGCAGGAGCTTCTTCAGTGATAGATGGGTTTGTGAAACGGCTGCGTTCTTCGAAGAACACTCTGCTCAGGTGCTATAGATATTGTTGACTGGCTCCGTTGAAGATTGTTCGTATATCGATAAGATTGCTGTCAGACTCGTTTGTTGCAAGTTCTTAATAAGCCTCACCTTGCGAGTCATTGGGTTGATGAGTGTGCATCTATACGAGTAGATATCCGCGGTTGTACCTTCGTACCTCTAATGTGTAATGAAAAGATTACGCCCATCCGTGGCACAGTACTTCTTTCCCCCATACAAGTAGAACAGCGATGAGTATCTACCCCACCAGCAGGCATAAGTTCAGTGAGTTGATCAACAAACGCTTCTGTTAACGCGTGCCACATAGTCTCATCTCATCTCTCAGCTGTAGAAGATGGAGAGGCTGACGGATATAATGCCTGTGAAGGTCATGCGGGACACATCCGAATTCAATGCAGATTAGCTTTGTGTGAGAATGCGGGGTACAGCTGCCCAGGTGAGTGGGATGTATCTTCGGATTTGGTTCCGAAGAAGAAGAAGCACGACCCCTCTATTACCTACAAAAACCTTTTGCTTCGTCACAAGCTCATACTTCTATCTTACTTGGAGTATGTGGTTCCATAGAAGGCATCTCACTCGATCCTTCGGATGATCTCTCGGGCTTTCTTAGAAGACTCGCGATGAGTATAACATTTATGGCGGCTTGGTACCGAGCCAAATGAAACGATTGAGAGCAGATCAGTATCTCAGCTCAGGTAGAACCCCGTCCAGCTTGTTGTCGGGTATTCTTGTCGTTTTCTTGTTTCCACTGCTTCTCTGCTGCGATCCGTCGCTGTATAATCGTAGGGTCAAGAAATGGTTTTGGAATCTCTTGAGAAGACCACTCAACAGCTGGATGGTCCATCAGCCATCATATCCAGGTGAGCGAGCATAAGTCGTCTGTACTTACGTGTCAACTTCATCGCCTTGCCTCTTACGACTGTGACTTCGCTGTTAGAAGCTCGTTCTTGAACATAACTTGCTCCTATAGCCTTTGGTTTTGGTGCCGAGAGTGGTGTCTTTTGTAGGAGTGGTCTTTTACCTGTTTCCGGCATTATAGAGCTACCAACACACTTTTGGCTGGAGTAACACAAACGAGTGTAATGCAGAAAAGTTCTGGAAGCGCGTTTGGACAGGCGCGGTTTCGGAGAAGAAGGCGTAGGTAGTGATTGCTGGCGTGTACAAATGTAAAGGTGTCAAATGGTAGACGAGGCACACGATTAATGACGTCCAGATGCCATCAACCATCTGAGCCTCAGGTCTCGAGCGTCAAGCCTCAGAACATCCGGATGTATCGTCGCACAAGCTGCGTCAGATGATGATGTTCACCCAATTGTGCACAAGAAGCACGAGTGAAGTCCGCCCTGGAGTGCCCAAATCCAAGTCACGGGCTCGCTTAATCTTAACCACCAAGCTCAAGCGCCCAAAAGCTCGACCCGCTTCCTCTTCCTGCCTTTTCCTAACCCCGCCCTCCGAATACGGCCACTCAGACTGACGGAGCGAAACCGGACATCCACAGCTTGTTGCAGCACAACAAATATCAATTACCGGCGTAGTTGCTTTCGGTATTGACCTCAAGCGGGCCGTTTCTGCGCTGCGAACTTGAGCATCCTCGGATGCAGAGGGGCCGCATGGATGGTCAGGGGGCTGCAAGCGGAGGAGCCTCAAGCCCGACTACGAGTGTGAGACCTGGTACGAGCGGAAGCTTCAAGAGGAAGAGAAGTGGTGTGGAATTCGAAAGTAGCCCAGGCAGCGGAGTGGAGGGAGAGGATGACGACGGAGAAAGAAGAAGACAGCCAGGCGTTAAAAGAGCTTGCAATGAATGTCGGCAACAAAAGGTGAGTCAGGAAGCTTTACGACTTGCAATTGGTATGCCAGACAAGGCAAAGCTGTTGCAATGATCAATTGAGTCATTAGGCTAATAAAATCTATCTACAGCTCCGCTGCGATGTCGTCCAAGATCCATTTACCACTTGTTCGAGATGTAGTCGATTGAAGCTTGAATGTAAAATCGAATCGAATTTCAAACGAGTCGGCAAGCGAAGCAAACATGCGGAAATGGAAAAGCAAATTGAGACGTTGCAGCGACGTTTACAGCAAGCAAAAGCGCAAGGCTTCGTGGTTGATGAGAATGACGAGCTCGAGTCACCAATTGCGAATGGCGCATATGCAAGAAATGCTCAGGCATACATAAACTCCGATGAGGCTGTATCATCGTTACTACATCTGAAGCAGGGAGGAGGATCGTTTATACCACCACGCTATGTGAAAGAGTTGGAAGGGGTGGGCTTGACAGAGGAGGCTATCAACCAGCTCTTCCATGAGTACTGGACCTGTTACCATGCATATTTGCCGTTCCTAAACCCCCACCAGACGCCCGAGCAATACTATCAACAACATCCACTATTATTTTGGGTTATAATTGCTGTCGCCTCTCGCCGGTACACCCTCGACCCTACTCTTCTAACTGCCCTCTCCGGACCATTGTCACGACTTTTATGGACAACTGTCGGAGAAGTGCCGAATAGCCATCATGTTGTCAAAGCATTATGTATACTTTGCACATGGCCTTTACCGACAAGCACAACATCAACAGACCCGACTCACATATTGTGTGGAGTCATGATGAAAGCTGCGACAGGAATTGGTCTTCACCGTCCCAATCATACACAAGATTTCTCCCGCGTTTCAATCGATCTTAATAAAGAGCAACTGCATGACCGCGTAGTCACCTGGGCCGTGTGCAATATTGTTGCGCAGAGTATTGGTACAGGTTATGGCCAGCCTGCTTCGACTCTTTACGATTGGACCCTTGCAGTTAGACCAGGAGCCGAGGGCCCATATGTGTTGACACCGGAGCTCGATGCTAGGCTTCAACTTGAAAGATTCTGTGACAAGGTTTCCAAGGAGATGTACAGCAACGTCAGCGATCCCAGAGGTGTTGCGGGCGATGAAATCAGAGCCATGTTGACGAGAGTTTATCGTCGAGAGTACGGGGAACTTCACTCAACAATCATGATGAATCAGAACCTCTCTCAGATAGTCAACCTCCATTTGAAGGCTGCTGGCTTACATCTCCGCTTATCTGCTTTCTTTGACTCAAGTGGAACAGCAGGTTATATGGAAGATCTTATGGCTTTGTGGAGAGCAGCTGTAGCATTTCTAGACCTGGTGTTTGAGCTTGAAAGCTCCACGACCGATGGAACGAATGGGGGTATTCTCCGTTATGCTACCAACTACATCATGCAAATGATCATAGCTGCTTGCTTTACTCTTCTTAAGCTTTTGAGCTCTTTCTTTGCGCCAGAAATCGATTTTGAACGTGGAAGACGTCTTTTTCATCGGACCATTCAGATTATTCGAAGTCTAAGCGTAATCAACAATGATCTTCCCTGGAGGCTGGCGGAGTTGATGGTGCAGATGTGGAATGGAGCTCGTGTTGAAGCCCGCCGTGCCTTGCAACAAGACAGCAATGGTAATGATGAGCAAACAAGAACCATTATTGATGACAGTCTGCAACTCAAGGTTCGGTGCCGAATGAGTATGAGTTTGGTTTTCGATTCGATTTGGCGCTGGAGAGAAGAATTTCAAGCTCAAGGCAGAAATCTAGAAGGTCAGCTTGTCCTTTTCTCATTCTCTATACTCTCTTTCCCTTTGAACTATCCGCTTTCATGCCCACTTGATGGTGCCGCTACTGACAATTGACCCATAGCATCTCTGAAAAATCCCACAAATCCAGACAGCGCAGCTGAATCATCCGCGTCATCTACGCATCAAATGGACAGCACACTCATGGCACCTACACACCAACTCCAAAATCACCTCATGGCTACGAGCAATGCTGAAGCTGTTACACCAAGTAACGGCCTTCCAAGCGGTATGATGACTGGGATGGCCTACAACGAGAGTAATTACGAAGTGTTCGACCCTCTCAACTGGATGCTCGATGGACTCGTCGATTTTCCGTATTCTTACAACGCTGTTCAAGGACTCGAAGCCAATGGTATGGGGTAGATGAAAACATTGCGATCGTCTCCCACTTCCCTCGGCCAAAATCACAAAAGCCCCCTTTCCAAGTCAATCCACTCTCAAATCAAACCCCAACACCTCTAAACTCAATGTCAACCTTCCCAACGCTCCTCATTCCGAAATCCGCCTCATCACAAACCATGTCTAATCTTCAAAACAACCTCCTACGCTCATCTTATATACACCTCCTCCGCTGCTGACACAGCTAAAGGATCACTGAATAAGCAGCCACGTCCGACCAAAAGGGCAGGAATGCCTCAAACACAGTCAGCAAGCCGACTCATTCACTACATATCCTATCTCCTACGCACATACGCCATACCTCACATACACAAAGTTGCACAATAATACCACATACCTACATGAGGATACATGCCGAGATTACGCACAAACGGTTCGGTTCATGTGGATAATTCATACCCGCACAACGTGGAACATACTTCAAATTGCGTAATTACGGGAACGAATCGGTCGTCTTCTCATTTCTTTTTCTTTCCTGGGAATCAAGTCCATTCATTAGGGGTTTCGGATCGGGGATTTGGGAAATCGCATTTTATACCATTAGGAAATATGATTTGCCTCTTCTGGCATTCTGCGTAGTTTTACAAAGGTAGATTGATTGATAGCGAAAATTTGTTTCCTCTATATATGTGTGGACTATCTAACTAACTATCGATTTATCGTCTATACATCTATCTATCTATGATGACATATATTTGCCTATTCTTGTATCTTGGATTCTACATCATTCATAGCTGTATCGTTCTGTTGATTCATCAGCTGTATCCTTTGAAACAGATATGCAGACACTCGAACTTCCTGACACTTACCAACAAAGGGGTTTGGTGTCTGGATGATCTAGCCTCGACAGTGTGATAGAAGGATTTCCCAAGCAACGCCACTTTGTAAGATTTGGGGTCAATCGGTCGGACTCCAAGGCGCAGGATGACACTTCTTTGTCGTTGTATTAAGCATTCCAATACTGACAGCCTAGACTATGTGGGCTGACTCTTGATACGCCACATATCTGACGACTCGCTCCGTGAAAGGGTTGAGTTTGTGCCGCAGGGAGACGATTTAGTATTTGAGCTGGTAAAGACCCGGGTTTGGGTTTTCCTTGGACTTGCTGCTCTTTTGATGGTTGGTTGTTACCAAGGATGGAGTGGGTAGTGTCGGTATATTTCGTTGGTATGGGAGTGTGGAAGGGGTTTGACTTGGTATGTTTGTTGGAGAGAGATTCTCTCTTTGTATGCGGAGGGGTGGTGTAGTGGATGTTGATTTGCAAAGCTAATCAAGTGTTAGCCAAATAAGTCGAGACGGCAAGGAGTTGGTAAGTTGATAAACAACGTACTGTGAGCTCGGACAAAGCAAAGAAGATTCGGATTTGGGAGTGGGAAGTACATTCCTGTTTCATTTTGACGACGTTGCAGCAAAGGCCCCAGTAGCACACTCACAAACACATGCTCTTAGCTTTAGTCTCTTTTAATGTTTTGGATGATCACCAGACCCCGAATATGCTGTACGTATCGTGGTGTTGACGATGACCACAGTAAGGTATGCGCTCCTATCCAAAGTGACAACCGCACTGACAACGGAAGCTAGATAGTAGTTTGCCTGAAGTTGAAGTAGCAGCTTTCAACCGCACCCTGCACACACATCGATCAATGTGGCCAAAGTCTCCAAGGAGACTTGCGTGCATCTTCCATCCAAAATTCGATCCGCGTTCTTCGTCGTTCGAGTCACCTAAACACCCCTTGCCTCTGTATGATAGCTGTATCAATCGGTACTATGACACTTCCACGCCATGTCATTCGCGTCTGGATTCGTCATCAATGTGCCGCGTGCCGTAGATGGAGGAGGAAGGATTGTAAGGAATGTATTCGAAATTCGTTTCGAGATTTCAGCTTTAGGTGTTAATGTGGTTTTTTCGCAGATCAACCACCGCAACACCTAGCGGATTGTTGACCAGACCAGATCTGTGATGGTGAAATTACATCTCGTTAGTCTCTAGATTGCAATTCAACTGAGAACGCTGATTCCAAACCCACAGTGCTGCGCTGCAAGGACAACCAACTCACCCCGAATTCTTTAAGACTGGAGAAAGCATTCAGCTTTCACCGACACTTTCCGCGGACGGCTGTCCAATAGCACATCATCCGTATATCTCATACCAACTCGAGTACCGAGGTTATTTCCAAAGAATGTTGTGTTGTGCTGGCAAAGGTCTCAGATCCAATTCGCAGCCGCTTATGTTGGTCAACCACCTCGAGAACACCAACTGAATCCCAGTCGGCTCATGGATCAGCACTTCCTTTGATCTCCTTCTGAACACCGAGTGCCGCATGATTGTTCTGGAACCGAAAGCACTGCATTGCTGATGAGTTGGAAAGGTCGGCCGCTCTTTCAGCCCAACGTCTGCGATTAGTACGTAGTGTCATTCTCCGGGATTCAGATCTTTTACCAAGCTAGGTGTTGGCAAAGGGGAAATATTGGATGGTTTTCTTGGGAGCTGGAAGAATCTGAGGATCTTGTACACCACGGTGTTTGCAATGCGTTGTGAGGTTTCAATGAATGAAATTTGAGGAAACAGAAACGCGAAAAGTTCTACAGCTAGACAAACTTTGCATCGTAGTGTGTCTTAGTTGCAAACGATCGCGGTCGTTTGAGAACGAGTTATCGTTGTTGAAGAAGCGGGTGTTGTTGTGTTGGTGGGAAACAGCCCAACACTCGCTCAGAGGGCACTCAGCTTCAGGGCATCTTGCCGCTACTCTTTCGAAGGAAGTACCCGATCAGCTTCTGTCCTTTTAGATTCATGATCCCTCCACTGTCGCCATCATTTCTTTGTACGGCAAAAATTCTCGACATTCAACTAAATTCCTCTCATTATCACCAACATTCTGTCCTGCCCGACCTTCCTTTTTAGACTCCCATAGCCACGCGATTAATCTCTTCCAGAGCCACGACATTCAATTTCTCGGTTCCTGATAACTGTACACCCAGAGGAATACTCCACCACTTCCAAACCTACAAGCATTGCTTGCGCCTTGCCACGGCACTCTGTGTTAGTTCATTGCCGCATGGTTCAAATTATCCGCCATTGGCTTCTGAGGATCTGATGAGTTGGGTGTTGGACCTCTGTGCTTGGTGCAACAACAATCATCGTCCTTCGATATGATTCACGTACCACTCCCTGGACTCAGACCTCGTGCACGCAACGTGGAACTCCCTCCATGCAGGCTTCCCAGCCCTACTCTAAACGCTTTACGAGCTCTTTCGGGTCGCACAGAGATTACATTCGAAATTCGAAGCTTCCAAGACCGGGTCGCTTCTGCTCCATTTGGTGCTGACACGGCATTCACGAGCAACTCTGGGTTCTTTGTGCGTGGCATAACATGCTGCCCTTTCCCCGTGTAAGCGACCCTGTCCTTCAAATGAGCTTGATAAGTTGGTTTATATTGAAGCGATTGTGCTTTGCATCCGATCCAGGCTTCATTTATTAGACATTTCCTCTTTGTATCCACTAGCATGTCCTGCTTTCTGGCTCATCTAGCGTGCCGCAAGCACTGCCATGCATGCCCTGTCGGACACGGTCTGAACTCCATCACGGTGTAGAGCCCTACGGACACTCACAAGATTCGATCTTGCTAAAATCAGAAGTTCAGGAAAATCAACATGGTTCTGGTCGCTGATATGGTTGCAGCATGGTGGCTAAGCGCCATGGAGTACCAAAATCTCGATCAATCTTGTGGCCCCAACCTGAAACAGCTTCTCCGCATGCTCAGTACACTGCCATTGCTCGCTTGCATCCATCATCGACCGTTGAATTTGGGAAAGGAACAATATGCACGTTTCAGGTGAATGCTGATTCTTTTTTTACCGCTGAGAAGACCAATGAATTGGAGTTTCCTCCACCGAGAAGACTCACATGTTTAGATATCTGGGAAGTGAAATCCTGATAATGGCGTGGCCGCAAGGGGGAACAAGTGACGGCAAGCATTCGTTTCCCCACTGCCGCGCTTCACCTTTGTGCCACCATGAAATCTCCTTTGCAGGCCGCTCGATCTGCCAATTGGACCATGGGTGGTTGTGCCACCTGCCTGTCGATAAGATTCTTCTCTGGCTATTCTTTGATCATTTCGACTGTACCAACAAGGCACACGAGGGG